AAGTTTTTGCCTGGAAAATACAGGAAAAGAATATTAAGATATACATTTAAATACTTTAGATAAGCCTGACACAAAGCTTTACAGGTCAACTGACATATCAGTCTCTATGTGAAAAGTGAGAAATGGCACTAATACTCAGATATTCATATAACCTTTACTGGAAAAGCACACATTTTTATTGGCAATTGTTCACTGTCAGCCTCTTTTCATTGAAACTAGGCTAGATTCTACTATTCTAGGTAATCCTAGGATTCATTTTAGCATGCAGTAAATACCAGAGTTGTTATTGCTTAAAGAAAATCATGCATTTTGCTTCTACATTTTTTTAACCTGGAGCTTATTAGCTCATGCACTTCAGTTCTCTCCAATAAACAACTCTCAAAAACTCACAGCACTTTTTGGATCAGAACTATTACACAGACACTAAAAAGGAGTGTATACAGACACTTAAGAGCAAGTTTTAAGATCCACAGCCCACTATTAACTCATCAGACAAATGGATCTATACTCACTGGAAATTTCTCAGTAATCTCCAAATGTTGAATCTTCATGTTGAACAGCTTGCATACTAGCAGCATCCAGGAAATTCTCCTTGAACCAAGATAAAACCAGAAACTTAGCAAACAGGCAGCTGGAGCAGGACAAAATCTAGCTCAAGTACGATCTAATCCTGCTGCAATAGAACATCCAATTGCAATATGTACTTTGAAATTATTTATTCAAGAGATGGTATTAGTTAGGCTCCATCGAGCTACAACATCAAGGCCATCCATACTTACGCTAATGTTGGTTTTACTGGCATAGAAATACCTATTTACCATATCGATATAAATTAGAGTATTGTGGTTTAAATGTTTAGCAAAACCTCACAATAAGGGATCCAGGGGCACTTAAATGATTCAAGTGCCCAACCAACTTTGCAATCCATCCCAAGACATATAAAAGAATCGTGCAGCAGGAAACATGCATAAACACCGATAAATCAGTTCACAACTACCTGACAGAAATCAGTTAATCTGCATGGTTTTAACAGGGATTAATCTCTCAATATATAATATTATATAACAACATTGACATAAGTATATTATGTTTAGGCTGGCACCAAGTCATTATCACTCCATGGCAAAGGTAAGTTCTACTGTTCTAGCTAATTTTAGGCAGAACAACTTGAAGACAAGATACCAAATAATAAATAGGACAGACAAATATAACCCACTGCAAAAGCATTTTTTTCACCCTGATCTTTGGAACCTCATTGTCAGTTACCATCATAATACAGTTCGGTATGATTATCACAGACTGGCACGATGAGATTGGCATAACTATATAAGTTAATAATTTATTTCCATCCACCTCATATAAAGATCAAACTTCAAAGTTTGTCAATTTTCAGTGCTCTGAAGCTGGCACGTTGAAGGAAGCAACGAAGCCAAGAATACACACCCTTAGCTTTCATGACTTTCATGCAACCAGCAATACTGAAAAAACAAGTTTTTTCAATGCACCATCTAAGCAAAAATTGTAGTTTTGAAAACCACAGAAGGAAGAGGTAGACAGAAGAAGGAAAAAGGTGGTGGAATATTCCAACATTAAAAAAAAAATCTATAAAAACAATTTTAATTCTAATTTTAGAACGAAAACTCAGCTTTTATAGGAACTCAAAAGAACTCTGAATAAAGTGTATATCATATGATTCTAGCACATGTAAGAAAACTGAAGTCAGATTTTAGTACGTTAACAGTCCTAAGTAACTCCTTTAAATTGTGAGAGATCAAAAAGACGGCTGCTTGTGCTACCACTGACATTCCATCAGACCTCAGAGAAGAACAGTTCTTTATGCTGTCAGTGCTACACCAATGTAGAGACACCATGAAACTCATAAATATTGACCACCTGTGGAGATTCTTACTTAACAGACAGATCTGTGGGGCTGATCTGAACAGGATCCTAAGGATTCATGCCCAGTGAAAAGAAATGTTAAGGAAGGGAAAAATGGGACAGATATGGAGCAGCAAGCTTTGATGTGCAATTCAGGGCCCAGCTAGTCACTGCTCCCATGGTGAAAAGGTAAATTGTGAGACAACTGACTGGAAAAGCAGATCTGAGAGAGTTTCCTGTTAGTTGATGACTTGCTCTAAAAGACCGTCCTCCCTTTTTAAGGTTCAGAAAAACTGCTGAAGTAAGTTTGATGTAGAAATTCTTATTAACCTGCAGAATGTTACTACTCTCAGTTATTTTTTCAGAGGTTAAGATGATGGACTGGATTCAAATGAGGAGAATAATCAGTAACATTAGTTTTGTTTAAATATATAAACACTACTTCAGATACCTTAACATTTCTTAAATGAAATAAATCAGCAGGTTCTTGGAGAGAATGCAGAACTCGCCTAAAAAGCAGAAAAGCTCTGCTGAAATGCTCAAAATAAAAGGTCATTTCCTATTTGTTAGATTTCATACATGCCTGAAATAACGTGAATGATTCCCATTATTTCAGGCCTCGATTTTCTACTGGATACAACAGAAGTGGTTCAAAAGTTGCACTACATCACTGTCACAAAGAACCCTTCTGCTAAGACTGTAAAAAGAGTTAATAATTTTGTTAAACAACAATAAATTCGATGAACTATAACCAGACATCAGGTATTTTTATTTATGTATATGCACTGAATAAATAATATATATACACAATGATAACTATAAAGATACGCTCCAATGCAATAAAAAGAGATAATCTGACTCTAACAGAAACTCATTTTGCCCATTTTCTGAGCTGGCTGAGGGGTAAGATAGGCATCCATGATTAGCACAGCGCTGGGCATGGGCTATGACACTTTTTGAGACTCAGAGTTTGGATTCAACACCATGCTAACACAATTACTCATCTTCCATTTTACAGTTGGCTGATTTTTGCCCAGTTCCAATTACAGGAGCTAGCATGTATGTATTTCCCAAAGTCAAATGTCTTGCCTGTACCTGACAATGCTCCAGTTCACAGTGAGATGCAGTATTTCAATTTTGTCCTTCACAAAAGATGGTAATTCTGGAATTCTAATATTTTTACAGAAGCAGGAATTTTTCCTAATAAAATTATCCCTACTTCCGTGCAAATTTTATTTTAGAATTTTTATGTAAATCAAGATGATAAAAAACTGCATGAAGAAACTACATGTAAAAACTACATAACGAGACCTAAATGGTGGTGTTAAATAGATATTGTGAGGTGCTTCCCTCGTTGCCATTAAGACTAAATAGCCTGGCCACCGTTCCTTGGGAGGCTCCTTTACCCTGCAAGACAGGAAAATAAGAGGTGGAAAGAGGACAGAACAGGTAGCTAGTACAGGAAGAATGGCAGGCTCTGCTTCTTCCTAGCCTTAGAGGGGCAAAAAAAAAAAAAAGCATTTCTAAGAAGGAAGACCGCGGCTTTGAGGAAGGCGAACGACAGGTTTCAAACATCTGCTGTGTAAGAGGAGGTGGCTCACTTCAAATGAAATGAATTAGTAAACACTCACAGAAGGAACTCTGTTGGCAGATCTGAGATAACCTCTGCAAGTTACTGCTGGGACAGTCTTCTTGAACTGGAATAGTTGTAGTTGGAACATGAGGCATTCACAACTACAACAGACTAGTTTGCACCAAATGCCATCTTTCAAAAGACCAAAGGGAAACAAAATTAACTCTAGTGCATGGTCAGCTTCTAGCACCCTGTTTTGGCTGCAGGTACATGGCACTTTCCCCTACATCACTTGCAACAATATGAACCTACGTTCTTTTTTCTTTTCATCAAGTGAGAAATACTTGTTGAGCTATTTTTCCTCTCCAGTCTGTTAGCTAGATTACTATTGATTTCAAAATAAAGCTGACTGGAGTGAAAAGCCACAGTATTCTGGTATTGCTAGCAAAGTTCTGAATTTATAGTTACACTTAGTAAAACCTCTTCCAGGCTGCAATGTATAGATGTACAAGATTATGATAACATGAGACACTGTTAAAATTTGGTAAGTAAAGCACAACCAATCACCTGTGTGCTAAGAAAAATCCAGTTCAGCATCAGGATTTACAGTTACATTTTGAAGCTAACGGACAGGAAAGCTGATGCCATCCACGTGAACAGAATAATGATAACTCTAAACTTGGTGAAGACAACAGCTGGGTCGATAGTTTTGCCTAGTTTCAAATAGCACCAATTATAGGGGAAGGGGAGTGGGGGAAGAAGCAGCTAAGTCAGGGAAGACTCATGTTCTGCATAATCCTTGAACCGACAAAATCTGGGACCTATGGAAATCCACCACATCAGGTAAATTCACTTATCTTTTCCTGTTTTAGGAATGGGTTAGATGCACATAGCATTCACTGAATGTGTTATAACAAACAGAATTTGTAGAAACTGCTCAGAATTTAAACTATATAGTAAACAGTGAGCACATGAGTACAGAATATCATCCCAATTTTCACTACTCGGCACTACACAAGAAGCAAGTGGATAGTTTTCTGAAACAACCTGTAGACATTCAGTAAATCCTCTGCCCCATGCTTATTACGTTGAGCAGAACAGATCTCTACCAAATTATAACAGACAAGGCAGAGATTTGCGTTTGGCTGTTTGGATAAATATATTTTCTCCAGTTGCATAAAGACTGTCAAGCATGAAGATAGAACACAGATATTGAAAATTCTCAAGAAATTTTCTTAGTCTAATTATTGCTTTCACTAGATAGCTGATTTTTACTATGACTCAAATATGGTGAACAAAGTGAATGGCTTAGCAATCCTTTATTAAGATGAGCAATAAAGATACTGTCATGATTTGGGGGCAACAAGGGAGAAATTCAGCAAGCAGTGTGGTCACAGTTGGAAATTTGATTAAACTACAGTAAACTTCTCCTTGAAAAGATCAGTGCATCAGTTGAGCTTTAGTCAGCCACATCATCTTGTAAATTGCTTTCAAGATAAGCCAGTACATAAATTCTCTTTGCAAAGATCTGTTACTTCAGAGTAGTCCTCCTACAGACAAAACATGGCATTTAATGGTACTTGGAAAATAGAGAGAAATGAAAACTATGAAAAGTTCATGGAGGCGATGGGTAAGTCTTACTTTTCCAATGCCTTCTTCAAGAATACTACTTCTACAGCTAAATACGAACTCGAGTTATCGGTGAACTACCTTCCGGCCAGCCTGTCCTTTTGCTGTTTGCTGCTCTGCCCTTGTGTAGTGTACTGCATTTATTTTCCAAAGATTCCACAGGGCAGGGGAGGGAAATACTGGGAAATGTTCTGATTCTAATTACATTATGTTAATCTTAAGAAACTTAACTAATTCCAGCAAATTTATTTCAGCAGAGGAGACTCTCTAGGTCTACATTTGAAGAAAAGGATCAGAGAATTTGAATGATAAACTTGAAGCAGAATTCTGTATCAGGAAGATTATTTTGGTAACATGAAACTAGTTTAAAAATTGCATAGGGAGGAAATCAGCATTCTTCAATTTTATAAAAACACACAATTCAAGTCATTTTAACATCCTGATATTTACATTAAATTTGTACAAACTGCATTATACGGATATAAACATAACCATTCCAGTTGGATAGTGGTTTGTATTATATCTGTACTGGTAAATATGGCCTCAATAAAAAGTGAAAAATAAAAAAATTCAGGTCAGAATGCTGGAATAAACTCACCTGACCACATAAAAGTCACTGAAGAGAGACAATTATGATGCTCTAGGGTTTTGGTTTTTTTCTGATTGATGTTAATTGATTTTTCTAGGTGTTAACATGGTGAAAAGAAAGTTAGGAGCCCATGATAATCTGAAGATCACTATTCAGCAAGATGGAAACAAATTTACTGTCAAAGAATCAAGCAACTTCCGTACCATTGATATTGAATTCACTCTGGGAGCCAATTTTGAATACAGTCTGGCTGATGGGACTGAACTTACTGTAAGAGACTTTTTATATAAGTATATATTTATGATATGATAATAACTTTATGAAGTACAGTTTCAAGATGAATGATTTGTCTTCCTAATTTGTAATTTAAATTTTACTTTTAAAATGTGACTGTTCAGGAATACTTTCAGCTTATATACAAAAACGCAAGGTAGTCTTAACTGCTGATGGTTCAACTCTGCACCGTGAAGCTCAGGGTTCCATAGAGTGCCCAAAAAGCAGAGGATGTAGCAATTTTCAGATGATGCAATCTAGGTGATTAATTTTACTTCTTATAATACTCAAGTACACCACCTAGAGTGTAGAGTGGGTATTGAGAAGAAATTACTTTGTTGATAAAATTAACTAAAAGAAGGTGTACTGAGCACTAAAAAAAATCTAGCTTGACTATTATGCAATTAAACTAGTGGTTTTATTAAAATTTCATTTTTGCGGCCTTTCCATCAATGTCCAAAAAAGCATTATTACACTGCTATAATCTCTTCTC